GCAGTTGATCGCTGACGATTCTATGACTCTGTGATAGAAAACCTCTTTTAATTGAAATCAAATTTTTCGTTGTTCAAACTTTCAGACATTCAAAATTTCCAGACAAATTGAAGTCGAGTGTTTATTTCGAACAGCGAAATAATGAGGTAATCACTTCAACAACACACTACCTAATTTTCCTAACGTATCAATTTATTGAGGACACACTTACTCTGACATTATCTTCTTTGCGACTGCTCACAACCACCGCTGCCCCATCCAACCCCAATCGTTTCGCTATTGCAAAACCAATACCCTGAACAAAACCAATCACTGATCATTCAGATCTTCCATTGTGAAAATATCTTGATTTCAATCTACATTACGACATTTTCAATAATCCTGCTTAAGTGTCACCTGACAATGAGCATTATTCATTTATCACTTCAGAAACATTTGCACTATGAGATGACACAGTTTTTTCATTATCATTGGTATTTTCACTGTTGTCACTTAATGAGAACTTATGAACCTAATCATAATTGATAAGCTGATAAAGTCACAATTACTTTAGTGGATGCAGTGATGATTGCAACTCGATTAGTTAGGCTCTTGACTGTAGTTGCGAAGTTTGCAGCGCTTGCCATCTTTGATAGTCAATATCAATCTATAAATGGAGAATATCTTCAACTTCAGAGAGACGACGAACGATTCGAAAATGAACGATACAAAAAACAACGTTATCAGTGAACAATACCAATAACCAGTAGCAAGGACTCAGTTTTTTTTACGCAGACAAGTAAAGTGAAGACGATACAAGTCCTAAAAGCGCTTAACAAGTAGTTCAGAGCAAAAACACCAAAACAATTCAGGGTGCGAAGAAAGGACCGCATTATATACTGTGTTTTTACTTACTACGAACCAAAAATCACTTATTTTATCAACATAACAAACGAATGTTTTTGCTCCTGACCCCAGCAGAGCTGTTGTCATTTCTCTGCGACAAAACTCCATCGTTGCTATGCAAGGCAGACACGGAAAAACATTGGATCGTAAAAGAAAATATTTTGAAAAATCCAATTGACTGAAACTAATTGTGCATGTGTTTCTTCAGCAGTAATGTAACACAAAAACAACTCCGGTTTACCATATCAGTTCATGCATGTGCCCTATTC